GAGAGAGAGGGAGAGAGTGTGTGTGAGAGAGAGACAGAGAGAGAGACAGAGAGAGAGAGAGAGAGAGACAGAGAGAGAGAGAGAGAGAGACAGAGAGTGTGTGAGAGAGAGAGAGAGAGAGACAGAGAGAAAGAGAGAGTTAATAAAAGTAATTAATAATAAAATGTCTCCAGATGATTGACAGCTGATCAGACTGATTGATAATCAATAACCTGAGAAGAAGGAAGATGGTTGTAAAACTAAAAATAAAACCTTATTTTGTTATCGTTTTTAGTAATTTGATTACTTTCCAAAAGTAACTAGTTACTCTGGTAGTTATATTACTGGTTTCATTGAAACTTCCCCATAAGACTCCATACTATCAGAGTGCATTGCCCCCTGCTGGCTGTCAGAGAGACTGCAGTCAGTGGATCAGTGGCCCCCGGTGGGCCCCGACCCTCAGGTTGGGAACCAGCACTGTGATTCAGATTATTATATATATATTATTAATATTTTTTTCAGTTTTTAGTAAATCTATAAAATATATCCACCAGGGCTGCACAAATAATATCAATATAATGATATAAATATAATTAATATCTATATTATTAACAAAAACAACACTTGTCATTATTCATTTTGTTAATCATATTGTTATTGTTGTAAATAATGACAATAACAATATTATTATTAATAATATTATTAGTAATAATATGTCCAATATGCAAACTGCTGTCTGAACGTGTTTACATAATGTTGTTCTCCAGATTTAATAAAACATGTTAGTTTGGTTCAGATTATCATGATTTTAACAGTTTTTTCAGTTTGATGCATAAATAATAATTCTCACTAATCAATAATCAATATTGTCTGATGTGCTGTTAGCTGGATAACGTTAGCTTGTAAAATGACTTCCCTGATAAAATTACAGAAGAAGAATTATTAGTTTTATTGATGTATTATTATTGTTCTCAGTTGTTTTGGCCTTTAAAATCGTCCCTACATACAGCGAGCGTGTAGTTCTCCCACCGTGGGTTCGATTCCCGGAGAGCCGTCAGACCAGCTGCTGACTGTGGCTCAGTGTTAGCGAGGTCAGTGTGTGTTTAAGCTCACAGCCGCAGTCTAATCTGATTTGTGGCTCCTATAATTAGACGAGCCGACTGGAGGAAGACTTTCCTCCCAGCAGGAGAACGAGTGAAAGTATCGTCACTTTTCTTCACTGGAAACCGCCTGAAATACGTCTCTCATGGCCCCGTTCTGACGCCGTGGCTCTGAGGGGGGGCGGCCGGTCTCAGGCTGGTTCACAGGTCCAGGCTGCTCAGGAAGGAGTTCCAGGTAAGAGCAGCCGGCCTTCAGGTCGCGGCTGTCGGGAGCTTCATTGATTAATTGCTGTTGATCCTAATTACTAACCAGCAGCTATTTCAGGACGCCGACGTCCGTCTCAACTGGTGCCTGAAAGCTAATCACATGACCTTTTTATGGCTGTTATTAGTATTTATCTATATATATATATTAGTATTTTCTACCTCCTATTGGGGCCTTAACTTATGTAAATCCAGTTCCCATGATGCTTTGTGGGCTTTAAACAGGAAGTGTAATGTTAACATGTGGACTCAAACCCTAAATCTGTATTTGTTTACATTTATTCAAACTGTCCATTAAAAGCAGCCCAATTAGCTGTTAGCAGCTAATGTTAGCAGGTAATGTTAGCAGTTAGGGTTAAAACGCAGCACTCTGAAGAACAGTATAGGGTTATGGTTAGTTATGGTTATGGTTATGGTTAGCCTTAACCCTTCACCTCCTCCAGATTACTGCGATAATAAATAAAACCTTTAAAACGTGATGAATCTCAGGCAGGTTCTGCAGTTACAAGGAGCAGGTTTTATTTATTGATTTATTGATTTCTGGATGATTATCTATGATTATATAAATGATGATATCTTCAGGAAGAGAACATCTCTGAGAATATGTGCATCACATCTTCAATAATAATAATACTCTTTACCTTTCCTCTCAGAGCCCAGATTGGCATTTAAAAAAGTCTGAAATACTTTATTTACTATATTAATAAAATTATACTAAAATAATACTATATTATTATTAACTATAATGGAAGAAGTGTACCTTCCTTTATAGTATTTTGATAAGGCAGCTTGATAAATCACTCAGATCAGAGTCCTGGTTGGTGCCGCTGTAAAAGGGAACGCCATCAGAAACATTATTATTAATATTCTTACAGACTCCAGGACTGACTTTAGGAACCACGTTTAGCTTTACAATACGGAGACAATATCCAACCCCCTGAAGTGACCGTACGTTGTTATACATGAACCATACGGGCTTCCATCAGGATGAGGGACACTTATTTCATCATGGACGCCACAAACGCAGCATTGTTGTTGTTGTTGTTGTTTTGTACTTTATGAATGCTGCGGGACGGTAAACGCAAAAGAGGCTGGCAGAAAATACCGGTAACAGCAGACAGGATTAGCATCCGAGGTTAAACTACTTTAACGTCCTCTGTGACGGTATTTACAACTGACAGCTAACCGTTAGCATACCGACAGCTAACCGTTAGCATACTGACAGCTAACCGTTAGCATACCGACAGCTAACCGTTAGCATACTGACAGCTAACTGTTAGCATACCGACAGCTAACCGTTAGCATACCGATACACTTTTCTTTTTTCTGGATTTGGAGTCCGGAGTTAGCCAAGCTAGGAGACTGAAGACTAGCAGCCACCGCTAACGAGGTTCAATAAAATTTTATGGAAAAGTCTCCTGATCTCAATATTTTAGTATCTCAACATAATAATAATAATAAGAAGAAGAAGAAGAAGAAGAAGAATGACTTTGAGATACTAAGTCAATATTTTGAGGAACTTAAACCTTTTTTGTTTCCTCACATTGGCAGAACTGGGCCTCCGTATACGATCAGGATTTAACTATATCACCAAATATTTGACAGATTCCAGTTTAATGATTTGTAAAGATTCAGTTTATCTTTTAATTCAAAGTCATTTTTCTCCTGAAACGCTGACAGTTTCTTCTGGAAAACCATCTCATTAAAGCGGCTCATATTCTTCCTGAGCAGCTCAGAGCGGCGCCGTGGACGGAGGTGGAGTCTATAACCGGCGATGCTAAACGAATATTGATTTGGCGTAATGAAGCCTGAGTAATGTGCAGACGTTCTCCTGAAGGAGCCTCTCTAAGCACATCACGAGCCTGACTGCACTGACGGGGTGAAATGGTGCGAGCGATGCGGTTTTAAGCTGCTCCTCCGCAGATGGGTCGAGCAGATTAGGGATGGCATTTTCACGCTTTTTTAAGCATCTTTCATTAAAGTGCTCCACGGCGGCGGAGGTGAACGCACCTCTTATTCTCCTCCGCTGGTGATGATACTCGAGAGGCTTCTCCTCACTCTGATATTAAACACACTGCGAGCTTCCTGCGGTACGAAGCAACGGCTCGGAAAAGCTCAGATGACTCTTTCATCATCGCCAAGTCGAGCCCCCCAGTAGGCCTGCCCACCAAATGACACTGTAGAGCCGTTTTATCACATCAAAAAGTTATGTTAACAATTTGCATGTACAAAGTTGAATATTCAGGGAAATGTGCCGTCGTATTCTCGGCGGTACCGACTCTTTTGTGCAGATTTTCACATGAAAGGAGCGCTCGTTTGTTTTCCCCACACTGCCTCATAAATTAGCTTAGCCTGCGGGGCAAATGTCCAGAGGTTACTTAAAGACAGTGTGTTTAATTAATTGGAAAACACTCTTTTTAATAGTTATTATCCAAGTATGAAATGCAATCCTTGTTATCTGAGCTCAAACATAATTACCACCCGTGGGATTTCTCTGCAGAGACTTCACAGAGAGGATAATGGATGTACAGTCGTAATAAAGTACTGTACGTTACACTGAATATGATCTGTCACACACTCACACATTCTAACTTTATATGAGCCAGTTCGCCTCGAACAGTTCCTACAGCCCCGATGAGACCTGAACTGCTGAGGAAAGGAGCCTCACTACTTCCTTTACTGTCTCCTTCACTGTCTCCTTCAC